TTAATCATTTCTAGTTTTACCACTTATTTTTCCTCCAACCCTGCATGCAGCTTAGATATAAAGGGGAAGAAGGCAAATGAATATTAGGACGAGAAACACAATTAAAACATGCACATGCAGCGATCTTTAGCAGGATTACAGAGTGCAGGATGAGACCACGTCATGGGAAAACACAGGCAAAGGCTTAAGCCTCCCTAAGTGGGAAGGGAGCTTCTAGGTAGGCCTATAGCTACCACCACTGCAATAAGAGGTTTTCAACACAAAGGCAGTTTTCTAACAATTTTTAAACGTATTAGTATTGCCTGTTTTTCACAGCATTCAGGTTTGATCAAACCTCATCCCATTTCCCACTAGCCTCATGACAAAGCAGCATTCACTGTGTTATTTAGCTGTGTTCAAAACTCCAAGCATTCTCTTACAAGACAAAAGGAATGAAAATAGATGACCAAGAAGAGCAAACAGAAGAAATGCTTTACAGTACTTACACTTCCAGCCCAAAGCTCAGTTGATTCTCCTATTAGTTTATAATACACATATACCGCTTCTCCCTTCTTAAAATTCACAAAGCGACAATCCGGACCTTTAAAATCCCGCATGGCCTTCCCTCGGCACATCAACACTGTCCAAAGAAAGCAAAGAGAAGAGTATGACTTCAATGATAATTTACATGAAAAGTGTCTTTGCTAACTGGCAGTAAACAAGACCTCCTAGCATGCACCGCTTTGCTATTTTCCAGATTGAGCCAAGAGATAAGAACTAAATTGAAAGCATAACTAAGAGATTTTTAGCTATAATTAACACAAACAAACATGCCAGGTTATAGCTAAAAAATAGCAATAATAAAAAGCAAGTTATAGGTAAAAAAGAAAAGCAAACGTTCTAGTCAAGACAAGGGTTTGACACAGCACTGGAGAACTACACTTCAGGAGTGCACTATGAAGCTAATTATGAATGTTAGATCAGAAAGACGACATCTGTGTCCCAGCGAATCGGTCCTGAAATTATCCCAGGGAGCGGGTTTATCACGAGAGGGCTTTGCGGAGCCGGGGGGGGTAAGAGAACCAAACACGGGGCTGCGGGGATCTGAAAACTTGGCCGCAGAGAGAGGGACGGCGCGCGTGGGCGTCGCGTTCCCGTTTTCCCCGATTCTCCCCAGTTCCCGCGCCAGAGCCGGCGGAAGGAGAGGGCTTTGGGAAGAGCCTCCGGGAGGCATCCTGGCCCACAGCCCCCTTGCCGGGGCCGTGCCCGCCGCCCCCACTCACTGCTGCACTCGAAGTCGGCGCAGCGCTTGCGCTCGGCGAAGCGGCGGCCCAGGTCGGGCGCGGCGGCGGCGGCGCCGGGGGCGCAGCGCGGGCCCGGCGGCGGCGGCAGCAGCAGCAGCAGGGCGAGCAGGACGAGCAGCAGCCGGGGGTCCGGCGGCGCGGCTGCGGCCGTGGCCATGTCGGCGGGCGCCGCGGAGGGAGGGAGGGAGCCGGGCGGGGAAGGAGGGAGCAGACACGTCAGCAGCGCCGGCGGGAGGGCGATGTGGCGGGGGAGGGACAAGCCCGGCCCCGCCGCCGCTGCGGGAGGAGGGCAGCGCACGGACCCTCCCTCCTGCCCTCACTGCCGGCAGCATCCCCATCCCATCCCGAGGAGGCTGCACCTCTTGCCCAGCGGGAGCCTGGCTACTTTTCCCGGTTCGCAGGCCAGAAAAGAAGGAAGGTCCTGCCCCTTATTTGTGCTGGTTTCTCTAGCTGAGGACCGCTGGATTTACAAGAACCTACAGAGAGGGTGTAGGTGCCGCCCTGTAAGGACACGACAGATCCGATCACGCACTTGGCTACTCTCCCTCTTGCCCCACAGAGCAGTTCCTATCTCTGCTGGAGAGGAGCAGCTGCCACTTCCCCGGTGACCTCCGAAAGTCTGAGGTCACAGCTGCGGTGCAGCGGGCGGAGGAGCTCATTCAGCCGTGATCCCGCTGGGGAAAGTGCTGGGTTTCCCAGCGAGCAGCCGAAAGCGCAGGATTCCCCCACAGGCTTACCCTCACCCTTCTGTAGCCGCAGCTTCCACTTGCTGGTACATTTTAACTATTGAGTATTTGCAAGCCGAAAGATGTGCTACTCACAAGTGTGCCTGCACTTACCATTGCCTTTTCTTCACATCCTTCACCTTAATATTGCCTTAGAGATCGAAAATGGAAAAATGACAGCAGAAGCCACAATGCAGATGAACAAAATTTCTCTTTTCCAGATCCATGTTATTTGTTCAGCACAGTAGCCTGAGTAGACGAAGAGAATAAAAGATGCAGCTAAGAAAGGATAGGCGACATAAGAAAATCCTCTTGCTGGTGAATCAAATGACCAAATTTTTCTTTTTTTTTTCTGCTTTCCAGAGCAAATTCTGAAGCTGCTCCCAAAATGAATAGGCACTCACAGAGCTGATAGTCAAGGTGAATAATTTTTCTTGTGCTTGTCAAAGCAGCTGAGGGTTTTATTCAAGAGCATTTTAAGAGCCCTTTTAAATGCTACACCTCAAGAGTTGGCAATCATTGTTGCTAATTGCATGTGTTCCTCTTGCATCCTCATGCCTATTGATTTTAGCTCCAGACTCTCATTTCTAGTCTCATTGAACAAGGGCTGAGATCCAGGCTTTGTTACTGCTGTGTAATCTCTGGAAAATATGTGTTTCACTTCAGTCCCCAGTTTGATATTTTAATCACACTATGAGAAAGTACCAAGGTAGAAACAGGTGTTGGTACCTCTTTGCCCAGCATCCCATGACACACTGGCATTTCTTACAGTTCGGTGTAAGGACACACACGCTACAGGAATGCAATGATTCATTCACCCAGTGCTCATGTATGTTCTCTAGGCCTAGTGCAGTATAGCAGCTGTAGCTCTCCTGCAATTTTGTTGACATTTTTGTGTTTCACATCTTCGAAAATGAGGTGATACCTATTTGCCATCACTGATATTGACTGATAAAAAGCTCTAAGAAAGCTTAACTCAGAAAATCTGTAAGTTTTTCACAATTTACAATATGGAAGTAAATACAGTCAAAACAAAATGTAAGATAAATGTATGAGTAACAGATAAGCATTCTTTCCCCAACATTAATATTTCCTGTTGTGTAATGCCCACATTATTACATCCAATTTCTTGTGAAGGAAGAGCTGTTTGGTTATTTTCCATCAGTACAATTTATCAAGCTTATCTTTATTAATGACCAAGATAAAAGGTAATGGTGTCTGTGGTTGTAAAGACAAGGGCAAGAAAGGGAGATGTGAAAAAAAATAAGATCACATATTTCTTTTATAAGTCACTGCCTTTATTGTGCAATGGGCAGCTAGCAGTTGATACATATACACAAGTTTACCACTGCAACTGTCAAGTATTTCCTACAATTTCTAGTATTTCAGGGTAATAATGTAGCTAGTATTAACATACCCAGCTTTCCTCAACGTGTGAAAGAAAAATATTTCACTTAGTTCAATTAAGATATTTCAGGCAAAATTTCCTTCCAGTCTTCAACCCCAATCTTGGAAGCATGTATTCAGCTATGAGTGTAGTCCCTCACTGTACATGAGGGATTACATTACATCTAACATTCAACTACTCTTAAAAAGCAGTTCTCCTATCTCTTCTGCACTAAAATATCTACTAAAGTAGCTGATACCCATTAACAAGATCAGTTGGCTAAGTTTACCTGAGGATCAGGAAACACTCACTTATGTATGACACAGGAAAACAAAAATAACCAGCCAAAAGTAAATGTCCTTGCAAGCAAACGTGAGAACTTTTACCAAAAAAGGGGGATAAGTTAGATTCTGAAATTAGAATATTGAGCTAACAGAAGATCAGGAGTGTTGTAGGAAGTGACATCAAACTTGGGGAACACCAGTGATCAGTGAGGCACTCACACAAGGTACAAATTAAAAAGGACAGTCAAAGAAGAGGGCACTGATAAATATGTGGGGCTATGTAACGGTTTATTGTCATCAGTCAAGTTAATTATCCATTAATAACAATACTTATAAACTGAAATGGTGGGCTTTATTGGAAGAACACAGGATTAAAAATAAAGAAAAAGCAAAGGGAGACTTCTGTAACCCCCACATTGATTTATTAAACACCTTATGAAGGTATGATATTGATGTTTAAGTGTTTAAATGCTGCAAACAACTGTTCTGCCTTGCACTATTCCCAACACTGGTTATCGATCACAGCTGAACCAGGACACCGCATCACACGAACATTTAATCGGAGCCAGTTTATTATTTACTCACCCTCCCATGCCAGGGCAGTTCTGAAAAAGAAAAAAAAAAAAAAACAACAAAACAAACTCTGTGAGACCTTACACGGTAAACTGGACTTTACACACATCAAAACAGTCCAGGGCAAGCTCGGTTCCAAAATGGTTTAAAGAAAAGTTCCAGCACGAATTTGTATAAACAAGATGCTGCAGCTAACGTATATGGATTCCCAAAATCCAGCAGGAACGCAGGCAACATTACTGCTCTGCAATGCATAGGATTTTGATTCGGAATCTTTTCCTTCTCTAGAACGTTATGAGTTAAAAAAGAACAGGAAAGTAGCAAAACAGCTAATGGAAAGAGTGACAGGAAGAACTCGCTAATTTGCTTTTAGAGTAAAAGCACATTAGCCACAGTTGTAGTCATGCTCTGATTGTGGTATATACGCCTCTCTGCCACACCGCTGCTTCACCCTTGGCCGACATCCCTCATTTCCCCGCTCCCACACGCAGAGAGAAACAGGGAAAGGCAGCGGAGGGAGCGGGCCCCGCTCCCCTCATGGCGGCCGCGCATGCGCAGGCGCCGCTCCCGCCCCGCGCTCCCCGGGACGCGGCGCCTGCCGGGATCTCCCGCCCCCGGTTCCTGCGGCCTGAGGGGCGGCCCGGCCGCTGCCCGCCCGGTTCCGGCCGAGCCTCCGCGTTCGGCCCGGCCGGCGCCTGCCGCCCCCTGAGCTGCGGGGTGAGGTCGGAGCCCGGCTGCCCGCGGCGCCATGGACTGCTTCCTGGAAGAGGAGGACGAGGAGGCGCCGGTGGTGGTGGGGAAGAAGAGGAGGAGGAGCTCTGGCTCCCAGGCGGCCCTGCAGCCGCCCCTGCGCTTGCCCTTCCTGCCGCAGCAGCCGGGTAAGGGCGGAGCGTTTGTGCGTTCTCTCTGTGAACTCCTTCGTGCTGCCATGGGAATGGTGGCAGAGTTCAGCTTCTGTCCGCCAAATCGTCTGCTAGCGCCGGGAAAGAGGATCGAAATAACCGCAGTTATTTTATGAGCCGGCCATGTCTCCTTGCGGGCTGGAGGGCCCGTGGTATCATTGGGAAGAGCATTACCAGCAGGTGAAGGGAGGTGATCCTGCCCCTCTGCTCAGCCCTGGTGAGGCACATCTGGAGTGCTGTGTCCCGTTCTGGGCTCCTCGAGACATGGAGCTCCTGGAGAGAGGCCAGCGGAGGGCACCAAGGATGGTTCGGAGTCTGGAGCATCTCTTACGAGGAGAGACAGAGGGAGCTGAGCCTCTTTTGTCTGGAAAAGACTGAAAGGGGATTTCATTAATTTATGCAAATATTTCCAAGGCAGGTTGCAAGGGGGTGATGCCAGACTTTTCAGTGGTGTCCAGCAACAAGATGTGGTGCAGTGGCCATAAACTAAAGTACAAGAAGTTTCACCTCAGCATGAGGGAGATCTTTACACTGAGGGTGGTAGAGCACTGGAACAGCTGCCTAGGGAGTTGGAGAGTCTCTGGAGACTTTCAAATCCCACCTGAACGCGTTCCTGTGTCACCTGCTCCAGGTGACCCTGCCTCAGCAAGGGGTTGGACTGGTGATCTCCAGAGGTCCCTTCCAACCCTGATGGTTCTGTGATTACCTGACTTAGCCATTGTTTGAGTTATTTCTTTGCCTACAGCATCCAGGTAGGAGGTGTCTTGGTGAGCTTTTCATGTGCCTTGCAGGTGGCTTTTTATGGATGAGCATTGTTGTAGGGTCATGCAGCCGTGGGCTTTAAACAGACTTCATGGGAATGAAATTTCGTGCTGATTTCAGTATAAATTGAACTACTATTGATGTAAAAAGGCTAAGTGGCCTCTTTGCAGCCTTGTACTCAAATGAGAATAATTCTCTATCTTTGTGGGAATTGCTTAGCCTTTGGTACTGGAATAGTTTGTTCGTTTGTGTGCATGCAAATCTGCAGCGCTGTGATGACTTATAAGTGAAGAGAGTAGTCCTCAAATGACAAAATGTACTGTGAAGTTACCAAAGCACCATAGCTCCGTGATTCTAGTAGGGCAGTAGTGTGACATAATTGGCTATTCACTGCTTCAAATGAATGGAAATTTCAAGCACAGCTGCTTATGGAAAATGCCATTTCATATCACATTTCCAGCTTTTCCCATAGTCTTACTTCCCTGTGGACTAGCAGGTGTGTTTATCTTCAAAACCACAGAGCTTAAGATGACTCTCTGTAGTGTCTCCATAGAAGAATGCTGAGATGGAGAGCCTGTGGCTATATGAGTAAGGGCTGTGACAGCTGTGGGCTCAGTTCATTTTTTGTTTTGTTTGTTTTTTTTGTTTAGTATCTTCCAATGAACACAAGTTAAACTTCAAGAAAAGCAAGGAAGCATGTTTAAGTTACATCCAGGATGCCTTGCTCCAAAAGCAGTGGAAAAGGGCTGCAGAGTTCCTGACCTGCTATATGGAGTCACTAGAGAAGGACTATTCCAGAGAACACATTGGTCCATCAGAGGTAAGCCCCTGTTCCTTACCTGGGTTCTTTTGCAGTTGAAAAAGCAAGCAATTTGCAAAGCAGGATCCATATACTTCAGGACCAACGTTTGTCTTAATTAGCTAATCACAGGTATGATTTTTTTTTTTTTTTTTAATAGATCCTTGACACTACAGAAGAAAACTTGGCTTGGTATAAGTTCACTCCATCAGTAGTGTGTCTATGGAAAATCAAAGTAGTCTTCTAAAATGGAAAAACAGTAAACGTGTTTTGTTCTGGCATGCCATCAGTCAGGATCTGTTTGCAAAGTGGTGGCTTATTTAGGTTGTTACCAGCTCTTCCAGTGGCTGCAAAACTCCTTGCAGGTGTTGAGATGGAAGCAGGTGGAAGGAAAAAGATCAGAACTTTTAAATAAATGGAGTACTTGAATATGGCTAGCTTGCAGACCTTGGAAACAAGTACATGCAGTTGGGGAGCTACATCAAATTGGCAGTAATCTTTGCTTCAAATTGGCAGTAATCTTTGCTATTAAGTTCAAAGAGTTGTGTATGCCTGGTGTCTTAGTGAGGTCATTTCAAAGAAGAACATAATTTTTCAGTGTCATGCAGTTTTCATAAGCTCCTCTGGAGTGCTGCATTTATAATGAGCAATTCTGAAGCACCCACTGAATGACTCTAGAAGTCCTACTGGATGAGTAGGTAGGCTGCTATAGCAGTAGATAATGCTTTGTAGCATTTTTTTATTTGCAGTTCAAATGTACATTTTTAATGTCCTGCAGTAACTTTAAGTTTAGTAAGACTATATATATGGTATCTGCTGCCATTTTTGTACTAAGGTTGGTTTTTTTCTTTCTCTCCATTAATAGATGATTTGGAGAGTAGGAACTGAAATTTTATGGCATCATTCTCAAAGCAGCATGAAAGAGTTCAACTGTTTCATGGAACAGATGAAAACTTTAGGAGTAAAAAGGTACTTGAAGGTGAGTGTACTTAAAGCAGCCCTGATGATTTTTCACGTTGACCTGAACACTTACTTGAGTATTAATTTCCAAATCTCTTTTGAAATGTATTACTGACATTAGTGTCAAAAAACCTCAAACCCAACATTTGAATTACCAATTGTATGAGATTTGAAGGTCATTTTATACCTAATCTTATCTCATTTGATCTGTATGTTTTGATCACAGACGCATGTTCTCAGTCCTTAGAAGCACTTTAAAACCCTTTAATTAAGCTTTAAGTTTGAATTTGAAACAGTCAAATTCATTTCCATGCATGTCCCAATGACATGCAAATACAGGTAATTACCTGCCAAGTTTTATTTCCAGTCTTTAATTTCACCACTGTGCTCCTGACTAAACATTTGTACTTAAATTTTGCCTCATTACCCTCTCACTTTTTGAGTAGCTAATCTGATTACAAAACTGTATGTTGTGCATACCTGTGTCACACAGCTGTAGAGGTTTTTTTATGTTATTTTTTCCTGTAGTGGCTCATTCAAACCGATATTGTTTGGTTTCCTTGGCTGTTTCTCACTTGGGATAGTGCTTCTGTCTTTTATTCTATTGTTAAAGATCCTCAAAGGAAGTTCCATACAGGGGTTTTCTGGAGCTGAAAGTTTAGGCTTTTATCTTACGATGCCAAATCAACATGGTAGGGTGGTAGGACATCCCTCTTTCAGGTGCTCTGAAAAATATAGCCCAGCTGGGTTTCCTCAGGTCATTTTTAGATCTTCTGAAATAGCTACAGCACTTGTTAAAGACAAGCAGGTTTTTGAGACAACACAAATAATTTAAATTCTTCAGTACCTGTGTTGGCAGTATTTTTTTATGCATCAGTAATGCATAAATAAAGTTCTCGTAATAAATAATAAATTATGAATAATTAATAAATAATAAATGTTCTCTTTCTCTGCACATGTGTGTAGAACTTTGCTGTACTGCTGAGAATCTCTGCATTTGAGTGTGAAATGCTGTGGTTTTGGACTGTTTGGGTTGCAGGTCTGCTTGGAGCATGTCTTTCATCTCCTCTGTAATGGGCAAATAGATGAAGCCTACCAGAACCTGTCCCTGGCAGAGAGCTGGAGGTTTGGAGAGCAAACAGCCATTCAGGATAAGGAAATGAAACTGATTCAGGCTTACAGAGGACTCTTGGACTACTATAGCTGGTCTAAGCAGAAGAACATCCTGTTAGAGAATGGTAAGTGGTTTTTGGATTGAGCTGTAGTTCCAGCTGCTCATGCAGATGCCACGGTTTGCAATGACACCTTTTCCTTTACTAAACTTCAGTGTGTGATGGTGTGGCTGGTACAGAATTCTGTGTCAGCAATGATGGTGATGCCAAAATAGCACTTTCTGAGGTGCCCTGACATGCTGTTCTGAAACTCTCTCCTCATGTTCAGCCAGCATCACCTAAAATAATGATCAGAGGAATGCATTTCCTTAAAGCTTCATAGGTGTGCAAGTGCTTGATTGTTGCTGGAATGTTGAGTGATAGCAAAGCCCTCAACACTTGTGTTTGAATTTCAGTTTCCTTAAAATGTGGAAGTTGCTGCATGTGTCACATCTGGTTCTATATATACCCACTGGCAGTGTTTCTTCACTTACACTAGATCTGTTTCTCTAAAAACCAGATGTTGAATTTGGATTATGGACCTTGTACTAGTAGTATCTTCTCTTGGGGTCCTACTCATTATGGTCCATAAGTTGAAATTATGATAAATTTGAATGAGGAACAGTGGAAATTTCTTGTTTCAATACTGAGGAGTCTTTTCCTAAAAGCTTTCTGACTGGAGGTCCTTGCTTAGCAAAATGTGATCATCCCTTAGGTGCAGTAGTTCAGAATCCCTGTTCTTGGCATAGTTAATAACTTTATGACCTTGCTTTGTGTTTTGGTAGGTGAGGATGGATTTTCAGACTTGGCTGTTGAGCAGGAAATGCACGGTTACTTTCGGAAGGCAGCAGTGAACTTGAAGGAGATTATTAAAATTCCTGGAGTCTGGGATGTCTTTGTGAAATGCTATGTGGATGTAAGGGTGTATTTTACAGATGGCTTCTTTTTGTGATTCCCTTTCGAATTTCTATTAAGATGCCCATATGCAGATTATTCTCTGTGTGTGCGAGTGAAAACAAAGTATTTCAGAAGTAATAAATTTGTATGTGCATGTCACTGGCTTAGAGCACAGTATACTCCTGATAGAGCTGCAGAGCCCTGAGCAGAGTACAAAAAGAACTTTTTATCTGTGCACTGTCAAGAAAAAGAAATAGACAGCTTACATGTTTTGTTTCTTGTGATGCTGCAGAAATTGAAGCATTGCTGCTTTAATTTACATTCCTGAGAACACTTTCTCTGATTTTTGGCAGAGCAGTGTTTTCTCTGGATACAGGAAATGCTAGAGGTGCCAAATATGCAGCCCCTCTGTGTTTTGGTTTGGGTTTTTAAAATACCTGCTTAGGATTTGTAATTAAGAATTAATAATTTTAAAGAGATCTTTCACTTATTGCAAACACTGATAAGCTCTGACTTCTCTAAGCACATCTTAAGAATTTTCCTTGGTGCTGGCCTCTGCCAAGTTGTGTCTTCAGAGATATGGCAGGTGCCTTCAGCATCTCTTTCCAGTGAGCAGGGATGGTAATCCTTTGGCAATTAAGTAGCTGTTAAGGCATTTTCTCCCAGAGTAGCTTCTGTGTGTGAACTCTTGTCTCTCTGTGCTGAGAGTAGCCAGTAAAATTAAGACAGGTGGGTATCTAATTTTCTAATATGCTGCACTCTTAGATAGAGACTGTGCTATTGGATGACTCTGTGGCAGTCCAAAACTAGTTGTAAGAGTTTGGTTGCCTGTATCTGACAAACTAATGACAGACTTAACTTCCAGTTGTTGGAGTTCTATGGAGACCACAACGAGGCCCAACAAGTGTTAAATGAATATGCCTACAACTCCAAGTTCCCTGCTAACCCCAATGCTCATGTCTACCTCTATCAGTTCCTTAAGAGGCAAGGTGAATCAAAGAAATCCCTCATATCTGCTCTGAAGGTAGGTATCCCTTAGGAGATACAGTCTGTATCAGTCATGTGGTGGTGTGACAGCTTGCTTGAGCTCTGTAACGTTATTTATCCTACTGTATTCTTTGTGGGAAGTAGAGGGTTAGAGGGAAGTTAGTGGGAAGGAGCAGAATCCTTTACTGTCCTTGAATTCCAGTTCTTGTTTTGCCTTTAACTGGTACATCATATCACTTAAAGTCAGCAAGGAAGCTCAGAGAACACATTCAAATAGTTCCAGAAGTCTGTATCAGCAGTCTTATGCATAGCATGCATTGATTTCTCTTACAGTTTGATCTTCATAATATTGTACAAATCATTAAGTGCCTGCTCTTTCACATATTGATCCTGTTTAGCAATTAGTTTCTTAGCTTGTTTTCAATGAGCTGTGCATTAAAGCTAAAAGTTAATGTCTGCTGGTTGTTGGCAGACAAGACCTTGTTGGGTTAAGGTTTTGTAAGGTTTTAAATTATTGCTTTCCTTGCCCTTGGTACTGCTTGCAAACCATGTTTTGCCACTTGATGGCACTAATGTGCTTTTTTTTAGTGCAAGTGTTGTTTAAAAACAGGTTTATAAGGCTGTTTTGTTTGGTTTAGACTTTGAAACTGTAGCAGATTGGTGTGAAATTCTCCTCAGTGCATTTTAGCAGTGGCTTTAGACATTAGTCACTTACAAAACGGAAATAAGTCATAGAAGTGGTTTGATAAGTATAGAAATTGATCCAATGCACAGAGCAGTGGACAGGGGACGTAGAACTGTCCTAGGGAGAAAATGGCATTGCATTCAAAAAAGGGGACACTGGATACGGATTTGTGCTGCTCCTTCAGAATGTTGCACTTGCCACATGCAGTGTTTGTCAATAGCCATCGAGGTATTTCGTCCATGGTGTCACAGAGCAGTGTCACAGATGTGCAAAATGGATCTAGAGATCCATTCTTTATATCAAGGCACCGAAGTACCAGATTGCTTAATTTCCTGAACTAAAAGCAGCCAAAGCACTGAAGTTGTGCTTTTCTTGGTCAGGTAGAAGTCTTCAAAAGCTTTCACATTAAAATAACCTATCTGGGTTTTGTCTTTTATTTTTCAGATCTTGCATGATATTGTTCCTTCTCATGAACTAATGATAGATTTTAATACCATGCTTCAAAAATCAAGTAAGTCTTTATCTTTGTTCATTTCATTTGTGCTAATTTCAGAAAACGGGTCTGGATTATCCTACAGTCTTCTTTCTGCTTTTGAAAGTAGTTTTGTTTCTTAAGAAATAATCCCAAAAAACCAACTTAAATCCCAACTTTCCAATCTCCATAACCTCTTAGTTGGATGTATGAGCAGTCATTTACAAATTTGTGTAAAAAAATGACTTTGTCATTTTAAAGGCTGAGCAAAGCAAACTGTTGTAAGGCACAGACACGATCTCAAAAATAACTTAATTTTTTTTAGGCACCCTACTCTGAATTCCAAGGTCTTCAATCCATTTTTGGGATCTCTGTTTTTTTGGGTTGTTTGTTTTCAGGTTTTTTTTTTTCTTGGAATAGATCTATTCTTTAGTTCGTTATTACTGATCAAAACAACAAAATTTTCCTTCTCTTTAAGGGAGCATTATCTTCAAGCTTTTTGAAAAGTCTTCCAATTTGAAGACTATTTTTTTCTATGGTGATCAGTTGTATTCCAAGCTGTCTGTCTTCTTGTAGCTTGTATGTCCCAGCAGGTCAACAGATTGGTGAAATGTACATGAATAAAGATTGTTCTGTCTTCTGATATGATGAGAGCTAATGGCTTCAAACTGACAGGGGGAGGTTTAGAAGAGATTTTGGGAAGAAATTCTTGATTTTCTTTCCAGAAAAAGAAACTTGTGACACTGGCACAAGTTACCCAGAGAAACTGTGGATGCCCCATCCCTGGAAGTGTTCAAGGCCAGGATGGATGGAGCTCTAAGCAACCTGGTCTAGTGGAAAGTGTCCTTGCCCATGGCAGGGGGTTGGAACTTGATGATTTTTAAGGTCTTCTCCAACCCAAACCATTCTACGATTCTTCTTTGGGAGGGGGAAAAATAGACCTTTTGTCCGAAACCTCCCTTTTTCAGTTTATGTGTGACATATTTGCCAACTTCTCATAACTAATGAGAACAATCTTGAGTTTTTAAAGATATTTATACCAATAAACATACCTTACATTGAAAGTAGCAGCATTTGTGGGGACGGAATGGAGAACTGTATTTCACTTGTGCCTTACTAATGAGTTTATCCTGATCTGTGTAATTCGTTAATCAGCCTCATCTTTTTTCAGAGAAAAGAAAAAAACGTCGACTGGGCCTAGAAGTTATTTTTACAGCCTTGGATTATGCTGGCTGGAAAGAAAATGCAAAAGCATGGAGCTGTTTGGCAAGACAGGTGAAACAAATTGTAATGTAAGTAGCTGTGATGCAGTGTGTTGAAACAAACGTGTCAATTCTGCACCTTTGGGCAGCCGACACAGTGACCCTCTGCACTAACTTTGCCTTCATTTTTGCTTTTCATACACCACTTCAGGGTACCTTGAAATATACTGGACATCTTGGTCACTGTATGGGAATGTCACTTCCCTGTTGCAGATAGTTTTATAGAATCCTAGAATGGCTTGGGTAGGAAGGGACCTTAAAGATCATCTTGTTCCAGCCCTCCTGCCATGGGCTGGGACACCCCACACTAGAGCAGTGTAGTGGGCTGACCACGGCTGGATGCCAGGCACCCACCAAAGCTGCTCTGTCCCTCCCCTCTGCAACTGGATGAGGGGGTCAAGTATGACATAGTGTTCATGGGTTGAGAGAGGGACAGGGAGAGACCACTCATCAAGTACTATATTGGGCAAAATAGACACAGGGCCTCACCATCAGAGTGAAGAATTTCTTCCTAATATCTAATCGAAACCTGTTATTTGCCAGTTTAAAGCCATTCCTCCTTGTCCTTCTCTATCTACCCTTGCAAAAACTCTCTCTTTATGTTTCTTTTAGGTTCCCTTGAGGGGCTGGAAGGAGTTTGTGTTGCTGAAATGCTTGGTTTGAGAGCATTATTACCTAACAGTAGTAACTGTTTGGGATAAGTTAGTCTTTGAGTATGCCTGGAGTACACAAACCTTTCCTAAGGACAAAGCAACCCCTTCATACTACTCATTTGTTGACAAACCTGGAGAAACTTCCATATTACTGTTGACAAACTGGCACACAAGTGAAAGGCTTGCTTCATTTCACACCATAACCTGTGTTATTGCCAAGGCTTAATAAGATTGCTAGAGTTCACTTCCAGCCTCACAAGTGTTCCCAGGGATTAAAAAAAAAAATTATTAGTTTTATAGCTTGTATTAGTGTTTTGGTGTAAAGTCAGTGTGCCTATGTTGGCAATTTAGGAGATTTGTATCAAGCTGATTATAACATTCACTGTCTCCTAATAATCTTTCCATTGCAATTTAACCTTTTCTATAACTTGTTTAACCTTTTTCCAGCTCTGAGAAGCATCTTGACTGGATCAAGCAAGAGTGGAACTCCAGGAAGGACTGGTGGCCAGCCTTCCATTTTAGCCATTACTTGGCAAAAAGGAATTGGCAGGAAAATAAAAGCCTTTCATATGAAAAAGCTCTGGTCGCTGGAATCCTACTGGGAAAGGGTATAATTTTTTTTTTTTTCTTTTCACTACATAGAACAGAAATCATGTATAATTCTAGCCTTAATGACATGGAATGCAGCTGATCTACTGCTTAGAAGAAATGCAGTTAGTTTCTTTCTTTCTTCTAAAAAAGATTGTTGTCTTTGGAGCTGAACGGGAAAGGTATTTAAATTAGTTTGATATTTAACAATGAGGCAACTGGTCTTATCATGGTTTAGAATTCTGTTTTATCTGGCCTTGTTGAGCAGCCACAATCTATTTGTCTTGTTTGACCTTCAAACCATAACTCCAGAAATGCACAACACCCTCCTATGGGAATATTGTGAGGACTGCAGGCAGTTTGCTTGCTGGATGCCAGTCTAGGCAGTGTCTCAGCAATGCTGGGGGTCAGCTGTCATTAAGGACTATGGGGATGTTGTAATGCAGGAAAGAGGAGGCAGGGTCTTGAATGAAAACCATCAGCAGTTTGGTAAGAAGGTGAAGATCATACCTCTTCAGTAGCATTATTTGAAATGCTGCCAGAACCAAGAGGAGGATCAGGCCAAGAATCAGCTGCTGAGTTGAGAATGGGAATATGGTGTGGAAACAATGGCTTATACACTGCTTTGGACTTCTGGTTGATAGGCAACTTGTTTATTGTCAGCTTTTCTGTAACTTTTTCTTCTGCACTTCATGGAACAGTTTCTCATATTGGAAACCCTTTGGGTATTTTTTGTTTTGCTTTCAGTAGTATCAGATAGCTCCCTTTTATTTCCAGATGGCTAATAAAATCATTACAGTTCAGATTTTCTTGAATGAAGTTTCAGTACTTGTGTCAATGTGAGCCTCTATTTTCCTTATCCAGCATAATAAAGTAATGTATGATATCAGTGCTGCTTTACACTCTTGAAATTTTACCTTCTGATCTAATTTTCAGAGCAAAAATGAAAGAGAAAAAAGTATTTTGCAAGATAACAAGCATTTAAATAGGTGTAGAATGTTTGCTGGGCTAAGTGAGCATAGATTATTTAATGCTGCAGTTGTGTCTGTAATGAGCATGTCTTGGATTTTCATATCTTTAATTACTGAAAAATTTCTTAGCTGTTTGCATATTATTGAAACAATTAAAGCATTTTGTATTTGCTTGTATCATGGTATAACTTAGTGTTGGGTTTTTTTCTTTCCTTAGATTGCAAATACTTCAAATATGTATCACATCAAGGCTGCAAAGCTCAGCTGAAGAGGTTTCGGATGCTGAAGAAGTTTGTGAACAGACACAATCTTGTCTACCTGAGAATATCTGGTCTTCCAGATTCCTCTGTTCAGCCTTGATAAGGTGGTGTCCTTAAGGTTCTTGGTGTATTTTTTCCTCTCTGTAAAACTAACTTCTATGTTGGCTACTCCAAGACTTCTAGACAGACCCTATTGACTCAGTATTAGAGTTTTTTAAAAATATATTTATGTAAAAACACTTTGGTTTGTATTTATTTTATAATAAAATTAGTATAAATCAACGGATAATTATCAACTGATAATATCGAAGAATTTCTGTAATGTTACTCTCATATTTGTGTGAAATGCAAACAGTGTTGATTGCAAATACATCTTGAAAGAGCAGAGGCACAGAAATACTGAGAAATTCTCTACCTGCTGGAAGACACTTTTTTCTTTTTGCAGTCATGCCCATGAGTTGAAATATGCAGCATTGCTGTGTTTGGAAGGCAAACGTTGATGTGTTATCACAGACCAGAATTCTGGTTTGCTTGAAAACAGCAACAAAATGGTTTCCAAATACTACTTCTGTTTTAATGCCAGATCTGTAGAATTCTGGTGGGTGAAGTGCTTGAACCTCCCTCTGGGATTGAAATAAAGATGTCTTTAGCAGCAGAGTAGTTTATGGGTAGGTACAGCTGTGCTTTTAAAAACTCAGTGTTTATCTGGGACTTTGGTCTGGGTTCATGTGGGTCTTGTGAGAAGTGCCTTAAGACAATGTGTCTTAAGCATTAAGTGAAATACTTGCTGTAACTATTTTTGTTAAAGGCAATTATTCATCATTCCCAACCCTACTGCTCATTTACTTCTGACTCCCTGAGAGTGCTGCTGCCTCCCTGTGTAATAGTCAGGGGGTTGTGTTGGAGACCTTCAACTGGGTTTGGACTATTTCAATTTAGATTGTGAAGTTTCAAAATGTTCTTCCCCAGCATCCCATAAGGATTCCCCCAGCCCTGGGAAGCAACCCCTCCTTGGGTGAGAGAGGTGATGCAGACTTGCTCCCCGTGTCCATAGCACTGGGGTTCATGCCCAGACATGGGCCTAAAGCTGTCGTGGGACAGTCCTGGCAGGAAAACAGGTGTCCCTTCCCTTCCAGACACATGGTGTCCCTTTCCTGGAGTCTTGAATTTGGCTTCTTGCCTGCCAATGTCCCCCTCTGCTCCCCTGGACTTGCAAAGATGGACTCTGATGGGCTGGTGACTCTCCTGTGATGACCCTGGAAGCATCCCAGCAGGGTGGTACTTGGGCTTCCCCCTTCCATTGTGGCCTGTGTTCCTTTGTGGGTATGCATAGGAGCTTTTATAATTTAAATTTAGGAATTTTTATAATTTAAATATACCCAAGTATAAAAGATGCCTTGGTTCTTGGTGAGAGCACCGTGTAATTTCCTTTTGTGCCCTCAGTTTACTGTGGGAGATGGGTGTGCCAGCTGAAACTATTGAGGAAGAAATGTGAAACAAAGCGTCAGCAGTTGGGGTGGAGATAAGGAGAGTGAGAGGATAAAGAGCTTGATGCCTGAAAAATCTGCTAATCGATTGCGGTGCTTCCAGCTTTCTCCTGTGACTTCTGGAAGCAGGATTGCTATGGGGGATCGTGTCCTCTCCAGGTGCTAGAACTATCATACTGGAATCAGCAAGTACAAGAGAATAATCACACCTTTTGTGTAACTGTCCCAAGCATTGCTCTTCCATGTCCTGGAAGAAACTTGCTGTTCCCTGACACCACAGTACTTGCGTTTGAGACAAACTAGCAGATCACAAATCCGGAATGAAATTTCTGTGCAAATCACTCTGTGCTTACTGTGTTTTCAAGCCTGTGTGTTGTACTTTGAGTGTGGTAACTCTTAGTGGATTGGAATGTGTGGGAAATAGAAAAGGTACAAGACTTTTAGAAAGCTGTGGGAAAGCAAATCTTAGAGTGAAAAAATGCAAGAAGGCATTTCTTCTCTTCAAACTCTTTGTCTTTGAATTCTGTGCTCTAGATTTGGTTTTCCTATCAATTTTCTTCCCCATCCTGTGGACAAAGCTTCTGTGAGGATTTTTTTTTATTATGCATGAAAGAAATAGTTCCCTTTCCACGTGTCTGTGATCAAAGTTATCTTTGTCCTGCTTATGGAAGAGCAAATTTAGGGAAGAGTCATTCTCCAGCACAGGCTGAGTGCAATGTGTAGAAACACCTGCATCCCTAGCTGATGGGAAGGGCTTGCTCAAGCATTTTTCACCAAAGGGAAAGTGTACAAAGGTCTCATGCATTTTAAATCAGTTTAATGTCAAATGGGATCAAACCCACAGAAATCAATTGGCTTAAGTACAGGATGACCACAGAATAGTACAGTCAACTTGAGGTTGTGCTGGTGCCTTCAGTGAATTTTTCCTCCTTTGCTCCTTCTGAATTTTAACCTGGAATGTATACCTGAATTTGTGGGTAACATCACTATCTCTGAAGTCACTTTTTCCTATGGTTAATTGCTGCCTTAACTTGATTGTATTTTATGACCCCTGTTCAGTCTTTATGAAATCACACCCAAGTTTGGTGCATTTCAAAAGCTGAGAAAAATGGTACTTAGGAACTGAAAATTGTTCACTTGTGTCATGTAAAGATTATCAAGTTCTGTGTATAGGTATCACATCTCATGTTTTTATTATTCATATTTTTGTGTGAAGGATTTCTCAGCCGATTTAACCTAAAATGTAGGGATTAGATTTGTGAGTGCCTCTAGGGGCAGGAGAAATGTCCAGCAGGGAGGGTCCAGCCTTGTGACATACCAAAGCCTGGAGGGTGTCTCTGCTGCCAAGTAATAAACTTCAGAGGGAAAGGAAGAGGGAATGTAAGCAAACCTCAGGGAATGTTGAGCTCTGGGACTGACGATTGATAGAACAGAGAAGATGAATGAACCATGCTACAAAAAATTTCTATACAGGATTTCTATACATCTGGCCTCAAGAAACCTGTGCTGAAGGAAGTGAATGCTTGGTTACAGGCTGAAAAGAGCAGCAGCAGCTCTGGAGTTTCTTTTCCTTGCCCACGTGTGTGTTTGCCTCTCCTTGTTGTGCCTGACAGGCACTCTGCTGGGACATCCTCAGTGTTTGGATAATGGGCCACCATTCCAGCCCCCTTTGCCCTTTGAATTCTGCTCTGCCTATGAAAAACTTTGGCTGCTGTGACCAGGAGAGAGACAACAGCATTGCAGCAAAATACTGGGACATCATGGATTAAATGGATCCCCAGGGGTATGAACTGTGTGGAACGCACATCAAAGATATCCTGTGTCAGGTAGGGAGGAAAAACAGTATCTGTATCCTCCACTTCGTGTTGGTTTGTGGTTCTGACAGCTGTGCTGCTGTGAAAGGACGTGTAGAAGCAGGGGAAGAGTGGGCTGGCAAGGGAATGGAACTTAATCCTCAGGCATTTTGCAAAGTGCTTTGTGTAAGGTGCATCACTGGAATCTGGGAATATATAATGACATTTGCTAGCAATGAGGGTTTATGGAAATACTGCCCGGTGAGGATGATGATTTTCCCATAATGAAGGAGAGAATTAGAGATCAGTATTTACCCTTTGCTTGCAGTTGCAAGGTGTTGGATTACAAATTCTACAGAATCAAATGATAGAAGAATTACAGGCAGAGTGTTTGGATTTCTGGACTGCAGGGAGGATATTTTTTTGTTTCTGTTCCTGCTGAGGATGCTCCAAATGCTGTTCTTGTCAAAGTAAAACAAAATTTCACTAGAAGTGGTTTCACACAGCTGCTCCAAGGTCCTGAGCCTGCAGTCACAGTGTTTTCATCAGTGCTTTCTCCCCACTGCCCACCTGGCTCATGGAAAGTGTGCAGGGAGGAAAGACCAAAGGCACTTTTCTCCCTGAGCTCTTCTGCATCCCTACAATCAGCAGGCAGGATCCGCCTGCCTTTTTAGCAACTGTTAGTTATGCATGTACTCACTGCATGCCAAAACACAAAGCAGCCAAAAGACACACTCGGTCTTTCCAAAACCATACAGAACTCTTGTAGTTAATATTTCCTGAGGTATAAAATGTTGTCTGTGCACCAAAAAGTTTCCACTCTTTTTGGATGCTGGCAGGATTCTGGCATCTCCTTGGGGTGGGGGATACACTTTTTCAGAAACAGGGCTGAAAAAAGTGGCAGCTGAGTTCTCTGTCATTTTACAGTTGGTAAAACAGCAAAATATGTGTTATAGATTCTAGCAGAAAAACTGATGTTGATGTTGTAAGGGTTTTTCTACATGATTCAGGTAGAAAAAACACTATAAAATTACTATTGTTTCTTTGATTCCTCATTCTGCAGGGCATAGTGTAACTTTGCATTTGTTTTAAGTGTATTTTGTAGGAAAAAAAAACCCAAACCACCCATGTATTTTTTACAGATTTTCAAAGTTTTAAGCTATTACTCTTTTCCTGTTTTTTGAGTGAGATTGCTGTTGAATTTTTAAGGAGGAATTGTGACTGTGATACGTGTTGCTCTCCCTGGTCAAGTTGGTAACAACCACGGAAATGAGATTGGATTCTCTGGCAGATATTATTTGTCTGCTGAATTAGTGAAAAGAGCAAAGATCTACCAAATGGTTTTGCTTTAGTGAAGTCACTTTACTGGGTCAAATTGCTGCTGAACTCCTCTGGAAGGGATGGAATTCCATTCTGCCACCTCCACAGCATTCTCATACTTTAGAACAAAACAAATTTTAAGAAAGTGGTGTAGGTGCTTATTGATAAACCTGAATAGTAGCTGCTCTAATTTAGCAAAGACAGCATTATTTCACATTTTTGGGGGAGATCAGAGCAGTAGCCACGTGTGGTAACAAAGCAGTCAGGTGTTCTTCAGTGCCAAAACCCAGTAAAAGCCAGACAACTTTCTGGTGTAGTAATGAGGGGGTTGCTGAGCATTATCCAGGGGAAGCCGGGTTTGGCAACTGCAAAAGTTTCACTGGCCCTGCAGAGACCAAGGAGGAGGCCATGGAATTCACCTTGCCTTGGCAGTGCAGCTCTGTGTTTCTTAATGGTCAGGAGATTAATCAGGGATGTGTTCTGGATCATGGATTTACTGCTGTCACTCTCAACCAGATACCTTTATCTCAAAAACTAACAGGTCAGGAGAGGCATGTAAAGCAATCTCTGCTGGTAGAGCTCAGTCTACATCTGGGCAAGATCTGGGTCTATTTTAGCTACCCACTCTTGTTCTAAACATTTAGAGGTTTAGAGTCTGACCCTCAGCTGAGTTATTCTAGGATTTAGCTTAAAAACTGTGTATGAAACTCTGAAAACTAATATTCTTAAAGAGGTGTAGTGCAAGTTGCATGGCTAGAAAATTTCCCTGGATGCAAACCTTGTTATGTGTGCTAGAG